TGCTAATATATATATATATATATATATATATATATATATATATATATATATATATATATAACAGGTCAGCATGAATAGTTGAGATTTTAATAGAGATGCTGATAGCTTTAGACGATTTTGAAATGAACGACAGCAGTGAAATATGGGAAGAACTCAGTTGCGCTGTCAGAGATATCAGTTGAGATAAATGAGAAATTTACTGGAAAATAAAATCAACTGACGTCGACTAAACTAAACAAATCATTAGGATTCTAATGCGCAACTTAGTAGAAATATTGCTCAGTTCGAAAATAGACTGCTATGTAAACGGGTATTCACTTTAGTCTTTTAAGACAAAGATGACTAATTTACCTTAAATAAGACGTGCAACAGCTGTGCTATTTTCGGCTTAGTAAATTTAAAACTGTAAAATGAATCATTGGATGGTAAATTTGTTAGCAACCTCAGAAATAATAAAACGTAGAAAGTTTTTTTGACGATCGGCATATTTATTTTGGAGGTCAAAACGAAAGATAGTAAAAGCAATAAGTAGCAGATTAAATACTCATGAAAAGTTGGTTAATATGTTTTTTCAGCTATTTGTTTTATTAAAATCATAGTTTTATTCTGTAAGTCTTCTTTGAACGTTTCGATTGACGGATAGGCAACTAATAAATTCGATATATATCATGTGCTAGACGACATTCATATACTTGAAAAAGTATTCATATAAGTGAAAAAAGGAAAATATATCCTTTCATCGAGGTAACTATAGCAGAAGTATTATAATTGTATATATATATATATATATATATATATATAGTAAAGGTAATAAATCCGTTGGTATATAATTCTAGTGGATCCTAGTAATATAAAATATTAAAATTGATCCACAAAAAGAGCTCCATGTGTTTATTATTACAGAGCAAATGATTAGTACACAATAAAATCTAAAATTACCTCATATGGAGAATAGACATATTTCAACCGACGAATATATATATATATATATATATATATATATATATATATATATATATATATATATTATATTCGTCGGTTGAAATATGTCTATTTCCCCATATGTGATAATTTTGGCTTATTGAAAAATAATAGAAAAACGGCCTACGCGTTGACAGCGCAACAAACAAGATTCGCTATACAATCCAACATGGAATACAGCATCCAAATGCGTATGTATGTGCGAAACAACACATATATGCGCATATATGCCCAGTCACACACTGTTCACAAATTTTATGTGTGAGCTCCCGTGAGGGAGCATGCGTTTGTCTGTGTCTGCATACGTCAATGAGTGTACGTGCGTGTATGTATGTTTACGTAAGTATGAGTGGCGTCCCGACGACAATCTTTCCTCCCAATTCCATAAAAACACCGACATACGCAACCATATATAAATCCAAAATTTAAAAATTAGTTTGTCTGACGATCGCAAATAGCGTGAAACCCAGCATGACAAACTCACATCAATCCAACTAAATATATATAGAGAGGCACGGTAATGGATAGCGGCTTGGACTGAGGAATCGGAAAGCCGAGTTCGAATTCCAGTCGAATCCATTACATTCACTTACGTGCTAATACCCTTGGGAAAGGTTTGAATTCTCTTCTTCTCCCTCCAGCTATGGGTAAATAGCAGGACAGACTGGGTTCTATAGCCTTGGATGGCAACTGGACTAGGAGAAGGACAACTGTGAATTCAAAACCTGCGGAGGGTCGTTTGGTGACCTTGTGGCACGTAGTGCACCAGGTCTCTGTAATTGGTCCTTCAAAAAGTGTGGATGTTCCTGCACGAAACCTTCACCATTATAATCAAATCTCATGTGCTGTTGTCGGGCTGTTGGTCTCCTCTGCTTGACCCTCATACGTCGAATTCCACGGGAGAGTCAGTATATATATATATATATATATATATATATATATATATATATATATATATTATGGGTGTATTATTAAGTCCTCTGTGAAAAAGCGGTATTTTGGTGCATGTCCTAACCGAATGGTGAAGGATGAGTTCTTACACTGTTAGCTAGGAGCAGAATAGTTCCTGATGGCCAACATCTCCCTTGGGCCTTGTGTCAAATACATTGTATTTTGCTAAATAAACATACCAGCATTGTTATTTGTAAAATCCATAATAATACATTTATCTCCCTGCTTAAACATTTTTCTCCTATGTCCCGTGTTCCTTCAGGGCGTTGTCGATCATGGCTCTCCACAATTTCCTGACCTTTGTAGATCTTGTAGATGTTGTTTTTTTGTTATCTCTAAAGCTTTTTACTCCAGCTCGATAGGTAAGATATGCGTTGTTTTCCACTGTCCCCTTTACCTTCAATCTGTCCTGTGCGTATCAAATTTTCCAAACCCTCTTTCCTCATTATGTTCCTTATAAATTTTAACTCTCTTCTCCTGATGTCAAATATAAGTGTCCTTTTTTTTGTCGAAGTTTTATACTAAAATTTCGTCATTCCTCACATGTTCGGTCCATGGTCTTCTCAGCATCCTTCTATAGTATTATAATTCTGTTGCCTCAAATTCTCTTCTTCATCTGTGATGAGATTGTCCAGCATCCACTGCCATCTGGGAGGGATAATCATTCATTTCATACTTACAATTTCATAACGTACTTTAAATGTGTAATATTAATACTGAAATATTTGTTTATGATTGCTTTTAGGTATTAGGTTGGTGCAAAAATAATGCCGTAATAATGTCGTGATGTGTGTGTTTTATGTTGTAGTTTTGCTGAAATTATATTTTGGAACACAGTTTGATTTCTCCATGAAATTGAAGGATATTATATGGATTAATATGAAAGCATTCTTTCGTGTTGGTGGTTTAATTTTGTTTAATGGCATATCGAGGGTTATTTAATACCGAAATCTAAATATTTTAAACACAATTTTATGGCCTCAATAAATATATTTTTGAACACAGTTGTATGCATTCAATTACAGATAAAATGTATTGTTGGTCATTTTGCTATAAAATGTATTGTTGATAAATAGTTATTGTTGGTAATTTTACTATATAAAAATGTATTCCTATAAAAATGTATTTTTATACTTTCATAGTATAAAGGGTATTCATTATAAAGGGTATTCATTATTTGCCCATAGCTGGAGCCGTGATACGTGCTACCATCTTGAATCAGGGTGTAGCTGGGAACAACAGCAATTAAGAAGTGGGTCCACGCTCCTCGAAACCTCCAATGTCCTGATCAGAGGCCTTGCTACCGGATGTAGTATATCGTCATACCCAGGCCTACTCAGAATCAGGAAGAGACAGCTGAAATTCCTTGGATAGACAACAAAGATAGAGGGATTGGAAAGCTTTCACGATGCATATTCAGAGCAAGAGTAGCAGGGTAAGGTAGCGAAGCACTTACTTGACAAGCTGGTGTGAATGGATGGCGTAACTGGATTAGGCGTTTTAGCAAAGGGAGGAAAAACTGCTAAGGGCAACAATGGATAGGAAGTTTTGAAGAGACATGATCGCCCATTTATGGTGGGACGCGGCGCGTAGGAGGAGGAGGAGGAGGAGGAGAAGAAAAAGAAGACGTGTAGAAAATCAACATCTATCTATCTATCTATCTATCTATCTATCTATCTATCTCATTATGTTCGAATATATCTATCTATCTATCTATCTATCTATAAATATTTTCCTTTCTTCGACTTTCTTTTTTGAATACTGCTGCCATATCTGGTTTGGTGCTCCTGCTCTTCATCTCGAGGCTCTTGACAAAATCCAAAGAAGGATCTGCAATGTAATCGATCCTGATCTGGCATCTCGACTCCAGTCACTTTCTCACCGACGTGGCATGGCTTCCCTCCGTTTTTTCTACAAATATTTCATGGCAACTGTTCCCCACGGTGTCCTGACTACATGAATTTAAGCGTGATACTAGATTGATATCTATCTAGATCCCACCCGTTTGCTATTGAAATAGCTAAATGCAACCGCCACTTCCACTCCAACTACTTTTCTCGTACTTACCGCTTGTTGAACTTCCTTCCATTTCCTTGCTTTCCTGATAACTATAATCTTTAAAAATTTAAATGCAATGTCAATCGCTATCTTCTGTCTTCTTGAATCCCGTTTATCTTTTGTCCTTTCCTATATTCTCCATATACGCAGTCTTTTCTCTCACTTTCACTCTCTGTAACCTCCATGTGTATTAGTGGTATTCCCTCCTTGCATGAGGTTGAAAATACCCCGAACGTAAATTTGTCGTTTGCTTTGAAGACAGTATTCTTTCTATGAGAAAATTTCTTTTCACCTATTCCTTAAGGCCTTCTGTTAAAGTCAATACAAAGCATGGCCAATCTTGCTAAATGTAAGAACCACATACGATAAAGTTCAAATATTTGAGAGCCGCAAGATATGAACAAAATTGAAATTCTTCTTATTCACCTTTTATATTGAATGTGATTTATAAACAAAAAGATCAGCCAACATATTTCCAAAGAAACCGCACGTGACTCGATAGCCGCGGTTTGGGTATAATATTAGAGTATAATAGAGTATAATATTATGCCGTCTTGCTTATCTATCTATACGATGCAGTTGTTTTTAGAAGGAAAATTAAGCTCAAATAAGTTTTCTTTTATCCTTCTCAGGTGATTTTATAAAAATCTAAATGACGTTATATATATATATATATATATATATATATAGTCGAAACAAAAAGAAAGACATTATTTTATCTGTTTCTAACGAGTTATCTGTACCATTGACCAGGTTAGTCAAGGTGAGGCTAAATAACTATTTCATAGTTGCATACAAGATTTTTATTTCGCTTAAATTGATCCTTGCATTAAGCGATGAAGTGTAAAGTAGCAACAGTTTTTAAAGATAGGAAAATAACTGAAAACATCGAAAGAGCTTCAAAAGATCTCCAGCTGTGTGATTCTTACTATGAAGCACTTCAGCAGCCGTGCACGGTTAGACAAAAGACGTAATATTACGCACGTCATTGCTACTGCACATCTTTTAGGATGCACCAAGAGTATAATATTATGCCATCTTGCTTATCTATCTATCTATCTATCTATCTATCTATCTATCTATCTCTGTTTCAATCTATCTCATTCTGTTCGAATCTATCTATCTATCTATCTATCAGTATGTTCGAATCTATCTCTCTATCTATCTATCTCTGTTTCAATCTATCTCATTCTGTTCGATTTTATCTATCTATCTATCTATCTATCTATCTATCTATCTATCTATCTATCTATCTGTTTCAATCTATCTCATTCTGTTCGATTCTATCTATTTATCTATCTCATTATGTTCGTATCTATCTATTTTATAAAATAGTATAACATTGTTTTTCTGTCTATAACTTTAATTTTATTTCAGGATTTAAATAACTACACAGTTTATCTCGCATATTCTTTATTTTCCATAATTTACATTTACATTTTAAATGGTCAGTCAGTTATGTGCAATGCGTGATACACGCTTAGGCGCTCATGTATCTTTCGATACATGACTTCCGATACATGACTAACTGAGTAGGTTGCCATTTCTTTCTGCGGTAGACCAGTTGCCATCCAAGGTTATTTACCAATAGCTGGGGGGAGAGAGAGAAGGATGCATATCTTTCACAAGGGTATTAGCACGTAATGGATTCGACTGGAATTCGAACTCGACTCTCCGATTCCTCAATTCCAGCTGCTATCCATTACTCCACCGTGCCCCCTTTTAAATAGTATAAACCTGAAATAACAAGACATTAAATTTGATGGTTTTACTCTTGCCCACTTGTAAAAATGAACACGGTAGGATGCTGTATACATGATGTAATAGGTAAAGATGCAGTGTACCTGTGACAATTGTGGACGCATACAGGATTTAACACCATTTGACTGCAGAATGATTGTTAGTGTCAGATGGCACTCTATCTTCGATTTGCCAATTGCTTGAGGTTTTTCTCGGACAGAAGTAGCCACGACATACCAGGAAAAAGCTATGAATTGCAGACACACATCAGCGGAACGTGACAACCTAAGGGTAATCAGAAGTGACGATCCCAATTCAATGCTGGTGCCGCACAGCCCATCAGTCAACGTTATATACAGCATACACTCTATTGCACTGAATACTGCGCTTCATCTGAGCCAAAGAACATCGCTTTTGGATTGTGGAAGGCTGGTACCGCGTTACTTGTTCCAACCAGTCCTGCTTCTAGCTGTTTTAGGCGGACTGTCGAGTTCGTGTGTAGAGGCGAAAACATGAGACTATGTATGAAGATTATCAGTTGATTGTTTTGCAAGCTCGTGGCGGCTTTGTAATCGTGTGGAGTGTGTTCTGTTGTAATTTGCAAATACCACCAGTGAAGAAAAATCTGTGTTGGCAAACATAGTTGGTTACCGATTATTTGTAGCCCTTAAAAATAATCCTGTTTACCGGTGGGGAGAATTTATTTTAGAAATATAACACTCACCCCGTCGTACGAGGGTAACAAGTGACGGGTTGCACTTACTCCCACTCGACTCGGTGCTTTTTTTTTTTTTTTTATTTAAACTCCATTTATCATGCATGGGGCTTAGTGTAGAACTCATTAAATACACAAGCCGAAAACAGACACAGCTGAGTTCTGGACAGCACGGAGCTATCCATAAGTGTCTCGATACAACCATTCCTGTAACGCGTAACCGCCGTTATTCAGGTGTAGAGAGAAAATAAACGTTATTAGATAGCTTTCTCTAATTTTGTGGCGCTTTAATGAAGTAGTGAATAATTTTTTTATTTCCCATGAAAGTTAAAAAAAAAAAAAAGAAAAAGAAAAACGAAAGAAGGAAATGGCTTCGTTTTTTTTAGTTTCTCCGAGGAAGAATTATAAGAAGAACAAAAGACAAATATAATTTTGGTTATTACATTAAAAAGCGAGTAGACAAATATGAAACACTTGCGTGGAAGACTATCTATATGAATTTGGAGTCCATGATTTGTCTCGAGGTAATAAATCTCTGCGCCATAAAGATGCCAAAAATTACTGTTCTGTACATACAACGTTGTTGAATTCATAAAGTGATTAAAATTTAGTAACATGTTTCTAGAAATGAAACGATAAAAATAATAAGTATCGATGTAATTGCATACGAGCGAAAATGTCTAACCTAGTTGGAGAAGAATGAACTCTTTCACAACACAATAGAATTATGGTTATGTAGTTGATCGATTTCATTTTCAAATGTAAGCATTTAAAATTTATATTCTATCTATCTATCTATCTATCTATCTATCTATCTATCTATCTATCTATTCATATCTATCTTATTCTAAGTATGCATCTATCTATCTATCTATCTATCTATCTATCTATCTATCTATCTATCTTATTACATATTAAAGCTATAAAGTTCATTTTGCAACGGATATGCCATACATATTATTTAATGAGTAAACGCAGATATTCGTTATGTTTTATTTTAATTTTTAACAGGCATTTATTTTGTTAAACCCATCGTTCTCTTTTGATTGTATTTTGGCAGTTGACCTAATAGCACGCATTCCTAAATGGTCAGATAAATATTTGTATGATTCAAATATTGAAGCTTACGACCATATCACGTTGAAACACCGGTTCCCGTACGATCACCGAAATTAAACAAAGTCAAGCCTGATCAATACCTAAATGGGTGACCGCTTAGGGGATACCAAGTGATGTGCGGGTGGTGTAATGGATGATTATACTGAATTTTATAATTGGAGAGCTGAGTTCCAATTCCATTTGGGTTCGTTAAATTCACTTATATGCAAATATTCTTGGTAAAGGTATAAATCCACCTCTTCTTCCCCCAGCTATGGGTTAATCAGTAATACTTGTGTCACTGAATCATTATTCACAAAAAATTCTTACAACCTAATTGTATTTTCTGGCTTTAAATAACCTGCAAAGGGTTAAGCTGAAAAAAAAAAGAAGAATCAATCAATTTAATATTGAAGGATGAAGAAGATAAGTAGCATTTTCGGTTGACTATTCTTTTTGTTTTAAGAGTAGAAATTCATGGTTTAACATTTATTTTAATGCTGTGCATTTATGAATAAAAAAGGGATAAACAAAGCAACGTGGATAGCGTCTCTTCTCTGAACGCCATCTCGCTTTTTTCTATTTCTGGGAAGATTTTTAAAAGCCACCGAAAGTGTGACACTGAAACCTGAAGGCGCATTTGGATAGACAAAGATGCATTTCAAAAGCTAATAAAATTACTAAGAAACAGTAAAATTTCCTTAGAAATAAAGAAAAGATTACTGAACTGTTACATAATATCAGTCCTCCTGTATAGCAGTGAATACCGGACAATCTCCTCACAGATAAAGTGGAGACTTGAAGCAGAAGAGATGTGGTTGTACAGGAGGATACTGTGAACTGAACATGTGAGAAACAACAGAGTTTCAGAGAAAATGAAAAACAAGAGAAAAAGGAAGAGACAGTTGAAATTTCAAGGGTACATAATGAGGAAAGAGGGCTTAGAAAATCTGGTACTGACAGGACAGATTGAAGGCGAGAGAAACCGAGAAAACAATACATAACTTAGAGAGGTTAAGTTAATGGAGAGATAGCAAAAAGACAAAACTTATGAGTGGTGCAAGGATAAAAAATTTTGAAGAGCCATTATCGCCTACGTCCACAAGGGACATGGCTCATAGAAGATCTTTGGAGGTCTTCTGTTAGCTCACTGTATATGTGAACATTGTAGATAATTCAATCAAACGTAAATCGAAGATGTTTTTTAAGAGATACTAGCAGTAGAGCCCGGCGTTGCCCGGGGATGTAACAGTAAGAGATAGATCAAGTATCGACCATCATAAAGACTGAAAAATAAAATTGACAAAGATTATTCTTTGAAGTTGACGGACACGCATGTCTTAATTCGTTTTTTTTTTTTTTTTTTTTTACGAATTGGTCAAACCCAAAACAAAAACATTGTTTTCAATCGTTATGAGTCTACCGATTGAATAGAATTTTATTATAAACAATTGTCTTGTAAATGGAATTTTTAAAGCATTCTGAATGTAAAAATAAAGAAAAGAGTGTGCAAGACAATAAGAAACACTACCTGCCAAAAATGTGAAGTTTTGTTGAAATCGATTGAAAAATGTAGGAAATCCGATCCCATATATAAACGAACACACACACACACACACACACACACACACACACACACACACACACACACACACACACAACCTAGGTTTTATAATAAGTATAACTCGATATGAGTTGTCACCCTTTCATTAATGCCTCTTAGTCGTGTTTTCAAATTGATTTCGTACAAAAACAATTGTGTTTTTCCAATTTTTGACGCTGTCAGAACCACCGCAAGGTAATTTTACGTAGTCCTGTGAAGTTTTGTTGAAATCGGTTAAAAAATGTAGGAATTCCGATCTAATATATAAACGAACAGACACACACACACACAACCTGGGTTTTATAATAAATATGATAATACTGATACAGAAAGACAAAACATTTGCCGTCCTGGAGACCTCGCTGTATGTGAAAAGCTTCTTCTTCTTCTTCTTCTTCTTCTTCTTCTTCTTCTGCTTTTATGCGCCGTGTCCCTTCAGGGCGTAGGTGATCATAGCTCTACAAAACCACTCGTCCTTTATATCACTTAGCAGTGTTTGTCTTTCTGCTATCTCTCCTAATCCCTGTTCTGCCAGCCACTTACATACGTTCATTAAGTAGATTATTCTCTGCTTCCCTCCGTTCGTCTATCTTGCCTTCAGCATGTCCTGTAAGTGTTATATTTTCCTAATCCTCTTTTCTCGTTTAGAGTCTGAAAACTCTGAACCGGGCTGCCTCCAATTTACTAAAGTTTTTGATTTTGTTTTTTTTTTCTTTTCTTATCGTTTAACTTAATTTTAACGCTGTGCTTTTATAAATCAAATAGTTACAACAAAAAGAACATGGATACCATATCTTCTCTGGTAATTCTTGTGGTTTTAAAAAAGAAATTTCTATGTTCATATTCATGTTTATGTTCGATTCAATGAATGGACAAATATAAAAAAACAACAAAATTATTATTTTCTTTGTACATATAGTTTACTTAGCCAATCTTATTATCTTCTTCTTCTTCTTCTTCTTCTTCTTCTTCCTTTTTGCCAGTTCCCAGGACGTTGGTGATTATGGCTCTCCGAATTTTCCTGTCACTTTTAGCTCTTAGTAAATATTATCTTTTTGCTATCGCTCCTAAACTCTGTTCTGCCATGCATTTACACAAACTCATCGGGTAGGTTCAATACGTTCTGTGAGTGTCAAATACTTCAATTCTTCTTTCCTCATTATTTGCCCCAGAAATGTAAATTATCTCTTTTAACTTCTAAACGATCTTTTTGTTTCCATTTTATTTAACGCTTTGTATCCTCAGAATCCTTCTGTAGAATCGCATTTCTCCTACCTGAATTCTCTTCTCCATTTGTGAGTAGATTGTCCAGTATTCACTGCCATATAGGAGCGCCAATGTGAAATAACTGTAAATACTCTTTTCTTTGTTTCTTAGTACCTTGCTTAGCTTTTGGAAGGCATCTTTCGCTATTCTAGTGCACATAACAGTCGAGTATAGTGAAGCACAGATATAAAATAAGACGTTAAAAATATATCATGTCAAATTGATTAAAGTCAATTTAAAACGTTCAAATTCTTCCAGCTAGAACAAATGAGTGACACTAAATTGTCAAGAAATTTCTAATTACACATTTTAAAAAATTGATACTTTAAAATTTTTGTGCTAGGGAAAAGCAAAAAATCCGTGTAAATTGCATTATTTTATATTTACAAATATATTAGATGTATCCACGTCAGCACTCGATAAAGAGAATTGTTGAAAACTTCTCAGTCCAACAAAGAAGGTCTTCCAAAAATATTTCTGATGTTAGGTCGCTTTGTGGAATCTTCCACAACAAACCAGCCTTACCTCTTTTTAGGAAATGCACTCTTCCTATCTGGTAAGTAACATCCTACTTTCACATAAATATAACAAGTATTCATTGGTCAATCACCTCCAATCTAGCTTGCTGATTGGTCAGTTCCGACCGATCAAACCGCCTGCACGCGACCAATCTGTTTTCCCGCTCATATGCTAGGAGCCACTTGACCATTATATAAACCGAACACGGGTAAACCTTTTTGGAAGAGGAGTAGTAGCTTTCTTTTCATTCATCTCTCTCGCACGTCTCAAGATGTAACCTTCACCAACTTCCGTTTTACTCATTGCTGCCCAGACGTTAAAGACAATTACCAGCATTCACGAACTCTGAAATCACTCCTGAACTTTTACCAACTTTGCAAACTCACAATTCCAAACTTTCTTAATATGGACTCAGGTACAACTAATACCTAATCAAAGGGACACGACTCTGTCCTACCTTTTCAGTTCGCATTCATGTACATCAAACATTAATAAATCTAATTGTTATGTTTTGGAATCATTCAGTTCAGTTTTGTATTTTATTCTATGTGCCATTTACGTCAAGTATAAATTACATTGCTTTCACGCATTGTCCTTAATCTCATCTTTCCTAGCCCAAGTTAAATATTGGTAACTCAATCACTACAACGATGATAATACAACAGCTACATATTTGATGATCCCGTCGGAAATAAACAACAATGGTACCCCGATCACCACAGTTTGATCAAATTTTGGAAAGTGGTGACGTCATAAAGAAAGTTTCAGTGTCGTCTTGTATTTTTTGTTGAATACTTTATTTAAAAGATTTTAAAGATATAGTTACAGAATTTCTACAAAAAATATGTTGAATAAAATAATTTTTATAAATCATAGGATAGTGTGTGTTGTTTAATTTGTTTTACAATATCAAGAATAGAAGTGTTATGAATCTCTGATAATACATTAATATCTTCAAGGATATTAAATCCTGTGTATATATCAGGGTTTCCCAGCCTGGGTGATATCGATCAGTGATGGGAGATTGGGAGGTTTGGTGGGCGATATAGGATTTTGTGTATTAAAAAGGTATTTCAATATATGCTATCAGAAAAAAAAATATGTAAAGGAGATCTGCAAAAAATCTGTATTAAAAAAATAAATAAAAAACAGGATGCTAAATGAATCACATTCCTACATATGATATAAATATCTCCACAAAGAATGAATATTTGGGTATTTTCTATAGTTTTGCGAAGGCCATTAATATTTAAATAGATCCTCAAACGAAATAACATGTTTTTCGTATATAAAACAGATAAGGGAAGACCAGGAACAAGAAAAAATATTCGCCAGTCTTTTATTAGTTGTTAATAGTGCATATTTTTTATTAGTTGTTAGTAGTGTATACTCTTTTTTATTTTATAATTATGAACAAAAATTGTTTAATTTTTTGTCAACAGTAACCTTAACCATAAAGCTAAATTATATATATTGTTTTCAATGGTCAAGTTTCTTCTCATTTGTTATTTAATAAAGAAATAGCAGCAGCTGACATATAAGTCAGCATTATTTGTTACCTCCCTTTGATATTATATTTTACACCATCATGAAGTCAGTTTACAAACCAGTAACAAACTTTTACCAAACAATTCTGGTATGCTCTTGAATATTTACTATACAAGTAGGTGATTTCAACTGTTGAGTGAGAAATGAGAAACTGAATAGGAAATAGTTGGCAATTGGAAACTTTGTGGGTGATATAGGATT